TTACAGTGAAATGCCACTCCTCCATTTATGCCTGAGGTATTATGTGGGTAACAGAACAAGCCAAGTGGACCCGAATCCAGAGAAATTGTCTGGAGTCCGCTTGCTGAGACGTCCGATTAAGCTTCGGTTGATATGGCGTCTAAGTGTCCGACTTTAAGCTATAGCGTGTTTTGTTTTAGACAGAAGGTGTTTGTAGTCGTCCCCACAAAAACTTGCATTGCTCTCTGAAAGGAAGAGCCAACGAAAGTATTTTCGTGAACCACACACGCACGCTAGCACGCACGCACATACATAAACACGCATATACACAAACATCCCTCTGAGGTCCTGCTTAAGATGCTGGGGATGCCTGGATCCCAATGGTATATAAAGGCTTTCACCAGGTCGCTGTCATTGACATATGCTCGAAAGGTAGTTCTTTCGTGAAGTTCTGGAAAAGGTGGAAATCTGAAACTGCCAAATCTGGTGAATACGGAGGATATTTAATGAGTTCAAAGCCACAGTCATGCATTCCGCTCATGGCGATAACAAAGTTGCCTTTTCCTGGTGGAAAAACACAGCTTTAGTGACCTTTCCACGACGTTGAGCCTTGATATTCTTACGCTGTTGCCTGATCAGGTTATCATACTATTGGCCAGATGCTACAGTGTCAAGTGATAGAATGGACTGCGCCTTCTTCTTTGGGGGAGACGTTAGATGTTTCAATGCTTCAGCTGCTGAGTCTTGGTGATAGTAGTGAACTCAAGACTCATCAGCTTTCTCTGCTTCGAAACGGCGTAAACTCTCACGAGAGATGATGAACCCGGTGCGTTTCTGAGTCAGAAGTCTTGGAACCAAGCCTGCTGAAACCTTTGTCTTGTACAATCCATTCCTCGTGGGATAAGCCTACTGTATTGGCTGTGTGATGTGTGGTGAGTTGTAGATCATCCATGATCATATCATGTATTTTATCAACGTTTTCCTTAGTGGTTGCTGTTGAAGGTCTTCTGATCTTGGATAATCTTCGAGGCTCTGCCCTCCGCTGCCCACCCCTTGACAGTGGAGCATCATCCCACCGACACCATGTCTGCATGGTTGGCTGATGGAGTAAGAGATTTCATTTGGCGATACACGACGACAGACTGTTAGCCACTTTTGTGCATTTTTGTCCAAAGACAATACCTATTTAATGCCCACAGAAGTATTCTTCCATTGTGTGTATTTGGTTCAAATGCAGCCTGTAAGCATGGACTAAAACTATGCAGACTGTATGGGATTTACTATACATCATTCGTAGTTTGGCTCAGAATATTTCCGTTACCTGTTGTTTTATTCTCAGTGGCAACAGCTACTTTTTACAAACACTTGTCCTGGTTTCAGTGGGCTGGGGGTCAAAATTGAAATATGGAAAAGACACGGAAAAAATTCGTTATAACGGAAAAAAGATTCGTTTTTACGAAATTAAATTCGTTATAACGGACAAAAGATTCGTTTTTACGTAAATAATTTAGTTATAACGAATATTGTTCTCGTATTAACGTTTTTTCCCCGTTATAACAAATTTCTATTCGTTTCTTTTCCATAGTTCTATTTTGACCAATTTTGATAATATGGCAATAGGCTTTCGTACTTGTCAGCTATATATAAATGTTCGTATGTGGGATTGGGGCCTACAGTACATGTAACGGACTAGTCGCGCTATAGCAGCAGTGCAGTTGGCACACCCTGTCTGTCTGGTCGGAGCACTGTCGGGAAGTAGGAAGCAGTATAGACGCAAAATAAACTCTTTCATGTTTCTGCCCGAGTTGGAGAGCGATTCAAATGTTCGATGTTGGAAAAAACTAAAAAGTAAACAAAACATTGATACGTGAATTTAAAAAAAAGAAAGAAGTAAAATAAACAAATCTGTCAGGTCTGGAGTCCTACCACATGGAATAAGGATTTTAATTCTAATTTTGACTAACTTTGGTACAAGTATGGTAGCTGTCGGCACTGTGATGCCGGCATTGGTCCGAATTCGTACAAGCGCCCCCCCCCCCCCCCCCCCCCACAAACACCTGTGCTCTCGCACTTATATATCCCGACTATGCCATATTGGTAGAACCGCCTCCGTGGTCTAGAGGTAGAGCGTCCGCCCGGAGAGCGGAAGGTCCGGGGTTCCATGCCCGGGCGCGTCATACCAAAAGACGTTAAAAGATTGTACTTGTTGTTACCCTGTCTGGCGCTCGGCATTAAGGGGCTAAAACAAGGACTGGTCGGCTCGGAGTCAGTATACTGTGTCTGAGTGGGGTATTCATGTTAAACTGCGGCATGGTATCTCAGTGGGCTAGCACCATAAATCGGCATCAGTCCTGTCTAGTACGAGCAGACGCACACACACGTACATGCACGTCGCTATATAAATGCAATAATCTTGGACGCGACGTTAAACCCCATGTCACCTCACCTTATTGGTAGAAGCGGTGTCCGGGTAACACTTGGCAATTCATTTTTCAAACGTTGTTCGCGTCTCACTTCCATATTCCGTGATATGTTTTAGAGAACAGAAACCTTAGAAGCTTGAATTTGCTGCTAAATTTAAACTTCCATTTTATAGTTTGGGAAGTTAATGTTATGTGGCCATTGTTTCGTTAACTACCTTCTGTCAGAAATAGGGAAGATGAGATTTTACGACATACAAGCTCTTTTACGACAGTCGATGATATCTTAAGCTTATATGCTTTAATCTTTATATGCACTTGCAGTATTGGTAACAAATATATTAACCCTTTATATATAACAGAAATAATAATTTCCAAACAAACATAGTCCGAAAATAAGAAAATAAACTTAGAAATTGTATTTTTTTAGATTGGATTATGGCAAATATTTTACGTGCGCTTTAAACTTTTTTTCTGTGTATATCTTGAGCGGGTGACTTTTCTATACTGAATACGGTCTATTAATCAAAAAAATATGTTAAACTATGTTAACTATGTTCTAACTCACATAAACAGTTTATATTAATTCTGCATCGGGTAATATATAATATAAATCAGTTAAAATATGTACGCGTTATTCATCCATGACGAGCGATTATATGCCCCGGTCAGTGGATCTATTTTCTTTCTAATGTTTCCCACCGGGTTTCTCTACCGGGAGACCCGTGAAGATCCGGGGTAGAATAGGTCTTCAGCAACCCATGCTTGCCGTAAAAGGCGACTAACGGGATCGGGTGGTCAGGCTCGCTGACTTGGTTGATGCATGTCATCGATCCCAATTGCGTGGATCGATGCTCATGATATCAATCACTGGATTGTCTTGTGCAGAATCGATTATTTACAGACCGCCGTCATACAGCTGGAATATTGCTGGGTGCGGCGTTAAACAACAAACCAACCAACTCTGCCGGGTGAACAGAGGCACAGTTCGAACAAAGTCACTTGCCTAAGGAGACACCACAAGAGCTACGTAAACACCACAAGAGCTACGTAAACACAACAAGAGCTACGTAAACACCGCAAGAGCTACGTAAACACCACAAGAGCAACGTAAACACCGCAAGAGCTACGTAAACACCACAAGAGCTACGTAAACACCACAAGAGCTACGTAAACACCACAAGAGCTACGTAAACACCGCAAGAGCTACGTTAACACCGCAAGAGCTACGTAAACACCACAAGAGCTACGTAAACACCACAAGAGCTACATAAACACCACAAGAGCTACGTAAACACCGCAAGAGCTACGTAAACACCACAAGAGCTACGTTAACACCGCAAGAGCTACGTAAACACCACAAGAGCTACGTAAACACCACAAGAGCTACGTAAACACCACAAGAGCTACGTAAACACCGCAAGAGCTACGTAAACACCACAAGAGCTACGTAAACACCGCAAGAGCGACGTAAACACCACAAGAGCTACGTAAACACCGCAAGAGCTATGTAAAAGGCAAAACACGACTCAGAGGTATTGGTTGACATGATAAAGAAAGCTGGAAAAACAGAGGGCGAAATCTAAAGAAACGCTCGTAAAATATATCTGTTGAGGAAATGAACCACAGATCTGGTCTATATTTTGTTTGTTTTTGTTTTACGCCGCACTCAGCAATATCCAGGTATGTGACGGCGGGCTGTGAATAATCGAGTCTTCACCAGACAATCCAGTGACTGAAATCATGAGCATCAATCCACGCAAATGGGATACGATGACAGGCAACAACCAAGTCCGCGAGCTCGACCACCCGATCCCGTTAGTTGCCTCTTACGACAAGCACAGTCACTTTTTACAGCACGTATGAGTTGCTGAAGACCTATTCTACCACGGTTCTTCACGGGTCAGACCTGGTCTAATGGTTTAAGTTCTTGACTACTCTTCAGGAGGTTGTAGGTTCGGTTCCCGTCATTCAAATGAAGAAGTTTCATTACCTGTCTTCGAGTTTAGAATACTGGACCTTTGAAACACTATTCCACACCTGTATCTGTTTCTCTACGCATTATGTCTTCCCAGAAAAGACCGCCTCCGTGGTCTAGTGGTAGAGCGTCCGCCCGGAGAGCGAAAGGTCCGGGGTTCGATCCCCGGCCGCGTCATACCAAAAGACGTTAAAAGATGGTACTTGTTACCCTGTCTGGCGCTCGGCATTAAGGGGCTAAAACAAGGACTGGTCGGCTCGGAGTCAGTATACTGTGTCTGAGTAGGGTATTCATGTTAAACTGCGGCATGGTATATCAGTGAGCTAGCACTATAAATCGGCATCAGTCCGGACTAGTACAAGCAGCGACCCACTCACGTGCATGCACGTCGCTATATAAGTGCAATCATCTTAGACGCGACGTTAAACCCAATTTCACCTCACCTCACCTTCCCAGAAAAAACCCCTTCATATTCAGTCTTACGAGTAAAAAGTAAAATCCTTCATACTCGGTCTTACGAGTAAAAAGTCAAACTTCATACACAGTATGAGGTCTAACAATAAGAAACAGTTAAACATCGTGTGAGGTTATTACGAATAAACTAGTAAGGCTCAAAACAGTGGTCAATATCCATGATAGGTTTATACACGTGCTTCAGCGTGGTGCAGGACCAAGGCCCTAGGAACTCCCAGAAGTCAAGTTGCCGTCCACAGACATCCATCCATCTCCGTGACCAACGTTCCATAACTTCGCCCGATCTGTGACCTCCCCGCTGAGCACGGTAATCACGTGCCACCAAGTATTCCCGGGTTTATTTGTACAATACTTCCTGACTGTACAAACGTCTATAACCCACTAAATAGTTCTAATTTCCAAACGATACCGTCTGTTATGGCCACAGCTGGAACATGTCTAGCAACCTGAAATCAAAGGCGCTCAAAACCGTTCCTGGTGGGTTTTGTGTGAACACTGATGTGTCGGTCACAATCGCCCAAACTCCCTATCTATGGATTCAAGGCACACGCCGACGAGTGAACACTCTATCACAGAAGGGCTTACAGTCACACATCTCCAATGGGTCATAGGGTCAGTACACCGCCCCGCCCTTGTCCATGCTTTCCTCGATACCGGAGTCTCTGTCCTCCTCCTCCTGGAGATTCAGCACCCTTGGTAGCCGCACCGGTAGAGTCGCCACGATCGACCACTTCTGCTCCTCCCCCCTGGCAAACATCGCAAACAGCACTCCCCCGATGAGGAACAGGGCCGCGGTGATGAAGAACACTATCCGCCATTGTGAAGCTGTTGGCTGCAATGCAATTCAATCAGTGTAGATGTGGCCGATTTTATTTTATTGCAGCATGTATTTTGTAAATATTTTAGTTAAGTCTTTTACTTGTCTTGTTTCTGTATCAGCCAGTTTCTATCTGTCTGTATACTTACGTTGCTGTTAGTAAGAGACTCGCATAGTTACGTTGCTGTAAGAGACTCGTATACTTACCTGGTTTGTAAGAGACTCGTATACGTATGTTGTTAGTGAGAATATCGTATACTTACGTTGCTGTTAGTAAGAGACTCGTATAGTTACGTTGTTGTTAGTAAGAGACTCGTATACTTACGTTGCTGTTAGTAAGTGACTCGTATAGTTACGTTGTTATTAGTAAGAGTCTCGTATACTTACGTTGTTGTTAGTAAGAGACTCGTATACTTACGTTGTTGTTAGTAAGAAACTCGTATACTTACGTTGTTGTTAGTAAGAGCGCCAACCACACTCGGGCCAATAAAACCAGTAGTTGTGCCAAAACAATTGGTGATTCCCATGAGAACACCTACAATACGAAAATAGGTAGTAGATTTTGTAGTACTTTAAATGATGCAGCAATCTTTATAGACAAAATTAACTTAACTTAAAATTGACTTAAATTGACTGTTCCCTAAAACACAAATTGACCAATCCGCAAAGCCGTGCATACAAGATGTAGCTTAAGCTTCGCTCATTACATCATAGACTGGGATTTATTTCCTCCATTGTCGCAACGTTTGAAGTCCATTGCCTTTTCACAAATAAGACGAGAATATTGTTAGGGGCGGCTGAAAATCTTTCTGCTTCCATTCCTTCTCCCCATCCCCCAGGATCACTCACTCACGCAACCAATCAATTCGCCGTGCAGAGTTGCGTCCCTTGGGCACACCAGAAACCTATGAATGTGGGTTCGAATCCCGGTTCGCCCCGTTTATGTTTCTAGGTTTGTCAGCACCATACTCGTTGGTTTCACCGAAGTGGTAAATGTCTAAGACCTGCATCACTTCGGGCTTTCTTCCCACGTTAAGCTGGCACACCGTGATATAACTGGAATATTGTTAAAAACGGCGTTAAACCCCACTCACTCACTTTACCTGCGAAATGTGGAGCAATGTCGAGATGATTGACGCTGTACCCGGCCATGGTAAACCCCGTAAACCCGACCCCGAGACATAACAGCGACACTGCCAGCATCGGGTGGCAGCCAGAGAACCCGATACCGACCATGACACCCGCCGGGATCAGCAAACCTGTTAACAAACGGGTAGGTCACTGTTTACAATCGGGTTATCAGAGGAGTAAAGTGTGGCCATCTTAGGACGTTGTTTGAGAGACCTTATCACCCACAATACATTACTACAGCCCGATTTCCTCTGGCGATTCATTAATGTGTTGCATATTTTTATGTTTAACGCCGGAATCAATTAGCAATATTTCAGCTAAATGGCGGCGGTCATTAAAATAATTGAATCTTGAACAGAATTATGATTGATATCATGAGCAGCGATCCTCCGAGGTAAGAGAGTTAACTGGATTTTAACAGTCATTTAACTCCCTTGGCTCGAGAAGATGACATGATCCATTAAGTCGCCTGCTTGTAGTCGCCAGGAGAATAGTTTGCTGGTGATCTGACCTATGCTAACCCGGAGGCATTAATGTACAAGATATCAAATGAGTCATTAGACTGAGCTGGAAGGTTGGCTAGGTTTTCTTGTGACGTTTTTAGGTCAATTGTTACAACAGGTATTCCAGCCCTTGGATATCGTTCGATTGCTTCCCGGGCCCGGCCACGTTGGCATAAAGCTCTAACATCACGTCGTTTGTCTGCTTACTCAAATTGTATCATGTATATCGAGTTTATCAAATTGTATCATCGTCTAGACCTATAGAGAAATTGGACGCCCTACCTTAGAGAACAGTTCCCTTTGATATGACACGCAGGTTATATATACAACTCAAAGTTTGCTAAGGATCACCACTCCAAAAGGCAATACGTCAAATGTTTAAACACCCACAGACAATATTGCGCGAACATGTGACAAACAACATGTGACCAATAATCAGTCAGATCATCCGTCAACATTTGTGTATCTGACCAAAACGTCAATAAATCACGAAAACAATTTCATTGTCAAAAAAACCCCTCCCAGTAGCGATTTACGTGATGCGATCACAGCCTGGCACCGTCGTCCCATGCCCCCAATGTCTGTAACTATGATTATTCCACTCTTCAGTAAGAACATTGCCGAGTTCCTGTAGAGTTGCCGGAAGGACAGGATGTCGTGAGAGGGCGATCTGCAGCTCGTTCCACACGTGTTCCATGTGGTTTGAGGTCTTGTGAACGGGCTGGCCACTCTATGCAAACAAAGCTATCCTGCTCTAAGTAGGCATCAGCGGCCCTGGCACAATGTGTTACGCGTTATTGTCCATGAGGATGAAGTCCGGTCCGAATGCACTTTCATACGGTCTAGCGTACACATCCAGAAAGACTTCCCTGTAGCGCACACTTGTCATCGTGCCCCGCTGTAGGACATGAAAATCGGTTCTTCCAGCTCTACGCCACACTCGGGCACGACGATCTGTGAAGTCTAGACAGTATATCGTTTAACCAGTGAAATGTACTGGAGCTTAGTCCAGCTCTGTCCAATTGACGTGATCTTCAGCGCAATCAAAATATGCCTGCCTGTGATGGCGGATCAGTGGGATGAAAATGCATGCCCTCCGTGACCGGAGACCAAACTCAAAGAGACGATTACGAACTGTCTCAGTTGAAACACTAACGCCACTGGCGTTCCGCGGGTCATTTCTGAGTGTGATGGCAATCATGAAGTGATGTCGTCTTGCTGCAATCAAGAGAAACCTGTCTTCCCGCTGTGCGGAGGAACGATGTCGATCATCTGCAAGTAGCTGGGTAGCTGATCCAAATGTCTGGCATCGATTCCATGCCCTGCTGATCCCACTCTAGCTGACACCAAAGACGTTTGCAACATGACGTTGTGCTGAACAAGTTTCAAGTATGCCTACGCATCTACCTAATTCTTCGGTCGTCCAACATCGTCTTTGACGCTGAGGGGGCATAAGTGCATTCATAATTATGTTGCAATCTTCAGTAGCAAATGTAACCTTACTCCCTCACCGGATACCTAAAGAGTTTTTCAATTACCACATTGTTTCACGTATACTCACATATAGTCACATATTTCATACATTCCCACATATCTCACGTATACTCATATACCTCACATTACCTCACTTGTTTGACATTTTCTCACACAACTCATATATCTCATATTATCTCACTGATACGAGATCTCATTATCTCACATATAATCACATACCTAACATTATCTCACATATTTGACATTATTTTACATATACTCAAATATGTCACATACACTTACGTATACTCACATATCTCACACATACATATCTCACACAAACTCACATATCTCACACATACTCACATACTCACATATCTTACATATACATATCTGACATAACCTCACATATCTGACATCCCACATGTTCTCATATATCTCACATTATCTCAAATATCGCACATATATTCACGCATACTCACATATACTCACATATCTTACACATACTCACATATCTGATATTACCTCACATAAATGACATCTCACATATAATTCTCATATATATCACATTATCTCTAACATATTCACATATCTCCCCTCTACCCAAACATCTTACATTAACGCACATATACTCACATTATCTCACATACACCATATACTCGTCAGTGTCAGTGTCTTACCCATGGAGGGGGCACGGGTGGCCCAGTTGTCTAAGGCGCCGCGATTCTCTGAGCATTGTCCATTGGAACGCCAGAAACCAATGATGGTGGGTTCGAATCCCGGTTCGCCCCGATTATGATTCTAGGTTTGTCAGCACCATACCCGTGCTCGTGGGTTTCACCGAAGTAAAAAAGGTCTGAGACCTGCATCACTTCGGGATTTCATCCCACATAAAGCTTACACGCCGTGATATAACTGGAACACTGTTGTGTTAGCAGCGTTCAACCCAAACTCACTTATTCACTCTTACCTATAGAATTCATCAGTTTCCGTGTGTTTTGTGTCGAGAGTAAACCCTTCCGCCTTATAACGTCGGCTATATGCCCACAGATGGTGTTGATGAACCACAGAGTTATGTACGGCAATGAGGACAACAGGCCGTTCTGACAACAACGAAACACTGTGTTACACAGCGGGCAAATACATTCTTGTTTCTTGCATATTAGGAAACACCACGCTACTCATCGGCCGAATGTTTCTTACCGATTAGGAAACTCCATAGTCTCCAATTAGTAATATTATACTACGCAAAAGAAACTAAGGAAAAATCGTTTCTTTCATATTACTATAGTTAATTTGTCATGCCATGATAGATGAACTATAGTAATATGAAATAATCGGGTGTTCCTTAACTTCTTTTGAGTAGTATATAAACTGTCGAGCAAAATATAATGTATGCACTTGTAAATTGGGCTTCAACCCAAAATTACAAATGTTTTCAAAACGGGACTAGGCTGGAAATAGTCGCCGAAACATTCCACAAACACAACTATGATACCGGTATGATATACATCACCATCGAATAACCATTTCTTGTTTGTTTCATTATTTAACCATCGTTATACTTCGTTTCTCCCGGCAGTTTAATACTACGCTTTACGGCTTCATCGGTCATAATATTGTCTTTTTTGGGGTTAAATCGGTAAATATAATTTTTTTATTTATTTTCACAAAATACAATTTGTTCGCTGAGGCCTGAAAGTGTTTAGATTATCAATACCATCTCGGAATACATGGTGTGAATTCAACCATGAAAACCTTTACAGGCATTCTTCGCCACTCGTATCATTGTAGCATACCAAAAAAAAAAAAACCAACAAAAAAACATAGCAGTTTCACAATGTCTTCGCCATTCGCGTCATTGCAGCATGGAAAACAACAACAATATAAGCCAAAACGAAACAGCGAATTCATAACTTCTTCGTCAAGTACACAGTAAAATATGTATTTAAGAAATGCAGCATAGAATACAAAAAGTGGCGAGCGGTAATTGTTCCACCTACCTGTTCAATATTAAACCTTAGGACCTGTTTCATGTATTGGGGGAGACAGGTCATGATTGTGAAGCTCCCCCAGTCCTGGGCGACATGGGCCGCCACGATAGCCCACACAGCCCTAGACGTGAATATTTGCCTCCAGGGTGGAGATAGCTGCTGAGGAAAACAATGGACATGCGTCACTCCACTAGACTACAGTACGATTTCATTAACCCGCCCTCCTTTACATTGACATATCGTCGATATATATACACATGATCACAGCATAATTCGTCCCACCACTATTGCGTAAATCGACCAATGACATTAAAATCAGATCATGTACACCAATCCGATACCTCACAGTGTGAAAATCTGGCAACCCCTTTTATAGAAGGGCGCGTCGGGTGAACCCTTCCTGAAATATGACCGCACATCTAACTGAAGAAAGCGTGTGTTTTTTCCCCTTTTTCAAACTATCCTGCTTCATCCTGATTTCAACAAAATAAAAAGATGCCATGATGCTCAGAAGCGACATGGATATCAACAACAATATAAGAAACGGTCATTATTATTTACATGCGAAACTGGTCGTTTAACTTCGTTACAGAAATCAGATATTAATGAGATTGAAAATCGACATGCCGCTACGTTTAATTCGATATTATGTCGATGGTGCATGGGACTTCGAGTTAACAAGGTCTTGCTGTTGCTTATTACAACACTATCAAACATTTCATGGAATAATTAATGTAGAACGCTTCAATAATTCGCCCGTAGTTCTGAAAGAAATGGCAAATATGTATGGTCATACGGGGACTACGGTAACACGTGGAATCAATAACATTTCTGAAGCGTGAGCGATTGCTGTTTTACCCCGCAGTGGGCAATATTGCAGCTTTACCAGGGTGTCCTCGACAATAGAGTCTAGACAAACAACGAGTTGTGAATAAGTAATGTTAAACCCAACTCACTCATCCACTGAATAAATATTGTTCCATTAAGAGCCTTACCCCATGCTTCTTCCCTATGGAGGCCTCAATATAAATTCTCTCTGATAAAGCGATGCGTGGGTGTTGAGTGGGTGTGTCGTGCACGAAGATGAACCACATTATCGACCACAGACATCCCATACCACCGAAAACGTAGAATACCGACGGCCAACCCCCAGCGAACCCGTACTTGCACAGGTAGCCAGTGCCCAGCATCGCAACAACCGTACCTATCTGCGCACCTGAAAACATAAAATAAGTAATTACTATGATAATGATGATTCGAAAACATAAAGTGTTGATACTAAGAATTGTAATGATGAAAAGAGTCGTCGCATAAAGTGAGTGAGTGAGTATGGTTTTACGCCGCCTTTAGCAATATCCCAGCAATATCACGGCGGGGGACACCAGAAATGGGCTTCACACATTGTACCCATGTCGGGAATCGAACCCGGGTCTTCGGCGTGACGAGCGAACGCTTTAACCACTAGGCTACCCGACCGCCCCTCGTCACATAAAGACAATCATTGCGGCAAAATCTATGTCCTATAAATATCCAACATCATACAGCTGTTGTTATTATTGTTTGTTGATTAACGCCGCACTCAGCAATATTCCAGCTATATGACGGCGGTCTGTAAATAATCAAGTCTGGACCAGACCAGTGATTGACATCATGAACATCGATCTACGCAATTGGGATATGATGCCATGTACCAACTTAATCCGTGATCCTGACCACCCGATCCCGTTAACAGCCCTAAGACAAGCATGGGTTGCTTAAGACCAAGTCTGAGTTGAAGGATTAATTCATATAGACAGTCAGGCATTTCTCCCACACTGACACACCGTGATATAACTGAAATACTGTTCAAAGCTGCGTTAAATCCAACTCCTTCACTCACAATAGTCGGGTGTCTCGCGATGCCTTCTAGATGATTGTCTCCGGGCTCTTTGACAACCATTAGTGTTACTGATATAACTATGCACTTGATTGTTTCACAGCCACCACCTCTCTCACAGAATGCATGTTGTTTTGCGCTACATACCTGCGTAGGTGACAGTGATGAGTTTACTTCTCTCCATGACGGGCGCCCACTTCCCCCACAACGAGTGCATCGCAGGGTAAACCACGCCCTGAAATATGACGTATGTATGTGAGCTTTGTCCTGTTCATTTATGTAGGTGAGCTGTATCCTGTTCATATATGTATGTGAGCTATATCCTGTTCATATATGTATGTGAGCTATATCCTGTTCATATATGTAGGTGAGCTATATCCCGTTCATATATGTATGTGAGCTATATCCTTTTCATATATGTAGGTGAGCTGTATCCTGTTCATATATGTATGTGAGCTATATCCTGTTCATATATGTATGTGAGCTATATCCTGTTCATATATGTAGGTGAGGTATATCCTGTTCATTTATGTAGGTGAGCTATATCCTGTTCATATATGTAGGTGAGCTATATCCTGTTCATATATGTATGTGAGCTATATCCTGTTCATATATGTATGTGAGCTATATCCTGTTCATATATGTATGTGAGCTATATCCTGTTCAGATATGTATGTGAGCTATATCCCGTTCATATATGTATGTGAGCTATATCCTGTTCATATATGTGAGCTATATCCTGTTCATATATGTACGTGAGCTTTATTCTGTTCATATATGTATGTGAGCTATATCCTGTTCATATATGTATGTGAGCTATATCCCGTTCATATATGTATGTGAGCTATATCCCGTTCATATATGTATGTGAACTATATCCTGTTCATATATGTATGTGAGCTATATCCTGTTCATATATGTACGTGAGCTATGTCCTGTTCATATATGTATGTGAGCTATATCCTGTTCATATATGTATGAGAGCTATATCCTGTTCATATATGTATGTGAGCTATATCCTGTTCATATATGTATGTGAGCTATATGCCGTTCAGATATGTATGTGAGCTATATCCCGTTCATATATGTATGTGAGCTATATCCTGTTCATATATGTGATCTATATCCTGTTCATATATGTATGTGAGCTATATCCTGTTCATATATGTATGTGAGCTATATCCTGTTCATATATGTATGTGAGCTATATCCTGTTCATATATGTATGTGAGCTATATGCCGTTCAGATATGTATGTGAGCTATATCCCGTTCATATATGTATGTGAGCTATATCCTGTTCATATATGTGAGCTATATCCTGTTCATATATGTATGTGAGCTATATCCTGTTCATATATGTATGTGAGCTATATCCTGTTCATATATGTAGGTGAGCTATATCCTGTTCATATATGTAGGTGAGCTATATCCTGTTCATATATGTAGGTGAGCTATATCCTGTTCATATATGTAGGTGAGCTATATCCTGTTCATATATGTAGGTGAGCTATATCCTGTTCATATATGTAGGTGAGCTATATCCTGTTCATATATGTAGGTGAGCTATATCCTGTTCATATATGTATGTGAGCTATATCCTGTTCATATATGTAGGTGAGCTATATCCTGTTCATATATGTAGGTGAGCTATATCCTGTTCATATATGTAGGTGAGCTATATCCTGTTCATATATGTAATACTATGTGATCCTTATCCTATTCGTACCTGTATGTTAGCTATGTCCTATTCATACCTATATCTCAGCTATGTTTTATTTATTTATACACGTATGTGAGCATATATGTACTCGTATGAACACACCTGGAATATGACCTGTACACACCTGGAATATGACCTGTACACACGTGAAATATGACCTGTACACACTTGGAATATGACCTATACACACCTGGAATATGACCTGTACACACCTGGAATATGACCTGTACACACCAGGAATATGACCTATACACACCAGGAATATGACCTGTAAACACCTGGAATACGACCTGTACACACCTGGAATATGACCTGTACACACCTGGAATATGACCTATACACACCAGGAATATGACCTGTAAACACCTGGAATATGACCTGTAAACACCTGGAATATGACCTGTACACACCTGGAATATGACCTGTACACACCAGGAATATGACCTATACACACCTGGAATATGACCTGTAAACACCTGGAATATGACCTGTACACACGTGGAGTATGACCTGTACACACGTGGAGTATGACCTGTACACACTTGTAATATGACCTGTACACACCAGGATTTAGCGGTGCACGACTTTAAGCCATGTACACACTTGGAATATGACCTGTACACACTTGGAATATGACCTGTACACACTTGGAATATGACCTGTACACACTTGGAATATGACCTGTACACACCTGGAATATGACCTGTACTCACCTGGAATATGACCTGTACACACCAGGAATATGACCTGTACACACCAGGAATATGACCTGTACAAACCAGGAATATGACCTGTACACACCTGGAATATGACCTGTACACACCTGGAATATGACATGTACACACCTGGAATATGACCTGTACATACCTGGAATATGACCTGTACACACCAGGAATATGACCTGTACACACCAGGAATATGACCTGTACACAAAAGGAATATGACCTGTACACACCTGGAATATGACCTGTACTCACCTGGAATATGACCTGTACACACCAGGATTTAGCGGTGCACGACTTTAAGCCATGTACACACGTGGAATATGACCTGTACACCCGTGGAATATGACCTGTACACACGTGGAATATGACCTGTACACACCTGGAATATGACCTGTACACACGTGGAATATGACCTGTACACACGTGGAATATGACCTGTACACACGTGGAGTATGACCTGTACACACCAGGAATATGACCTGTACACACCAGGAATATGACCTGTACACACCAGGAATATGACCTGTACACACGTGGAGTATGACCTGTACACACGTGGAGTATGACCTGTACACACCTGGAATATGCCCTGCACAACTCTGATGGTGATAAGCCAGGAGATGTGGAACCTGACCGCCATTGGGATGAGGAGCGAGAGGAGAGAGGGGACAAGAATTCCAGCTCCGAATAACAACTTCCCTCCAACCTTCCCCGCCAGCCACCCCCCGGGGAGCTGTGTGATGCAGTAGCCGTAGTAGAACGCCCCCAGCACGTACCCCTGTGTCTGCTCGTTCCACTGGAATTCCCCTCTCTGAAGAAGAAATACACATGCAACAAGAGTGCAATATACTCTTTAAAAACAGTCGGGAACATAAATGTTGACGACACACATCATATACAAGAAAGTTCATGTCTGTAAAACTTAACACCAAAACACATCCGATAGTTTGCACGTGCTGCACGCAGTAGTGCCACACACGTGCGTAGGGTGCCATTCCTGATTTTGACACTTTCAAGGAAGGTCGATTAATCTGTGTGGGCCATTTCTGTCAATCGTTTTGATTCTTCCTACAATACAGCTGTGATTTACTAGCGACGTGGCCTCTGTAACGGGCGCAGCGTCTATGGACTATTGGTATGCTGGAAACTCGCAGAAGTCAGCGTGCAGCGGCCAATACGTTCAATGTATCATAGTCTGTGATTAGTAGACCATAGGTACCAACAAACCTAAAATGTTGACGATCAACCCCGATTAGGGCGTACCAGATCAAATGTACAAAATTACTTTTTACTCGTAAGACTGAATATGAAGGGTTTTTTTCTGGGAAGGTGAGGTGAGGTGAAATTGGGTTTAACGTCGCGTCCAAGAGTATTGCACTTATATAGCGACGTGCATGCACGTGTGTGAATGTGTGTGTGGCTGCTTGTACTAGTTCGGACTGATGCCGATTTATAGTGCTAGCTCACTGAGATACCATGCCGCAGTTTAACATGAATACCCCACTCAGACACAGTATACTGACTCCGAGCCGACCAGTCCTTGTTTTAGCCCCTTAATGCCGAGCGCCAGACAGGGTAACAACAACTACAATCTTTTAACGTCTTTTTGTATGACGCGACCGGGGATCGAACCCTGGACCTTCCGCTCTCCGGGCGGACGCTCTAACACTAGACCACGGAGGCGGTCAGTAACATAACTGAAAACCTCTTCACCTTTATACTGCTCTATATGCAACTTACTCACTCACTCATCCAACGCTCACCCATTCACTCACATGGGGGTCTTCTCGTCACGATATGGCTGAAATATTGCCGATGTGACGTAAAGCATAAACTCACTCACTCACTCACATGGGGTCACTGTGTGAATCCGAAACCGGTTGAAAATCCGGTTGTCGAAATATATTAAACTGACTTCATTTAGCCAAGCTTACCCTTTTACATTAAATCAAATTGAAAGTCGCGAGAGTGATCAGGTGCTTTACGTTTATCGGGACCCCGATCTAGTTAAACATTATATTGTCTGTAGTGGATCTATGCATAACATCCATACATTGTGCGTGTGACGAGCTTGTTTGATTTAATAAGGTTTTGTTCCCGAAAGGGTCTCGTTATTTATTATGAATGAAAAACAGGTTCGTGATACATATTCAGGTTTCATGTGTGACCTTGGCGAGGTCACGGTTATGCGATCAAAACGAGGTCAACCACCTGTCTCTTCTCCCCGTGGGAATAACATGTATCTTACCTCTGACTCTGGGATGTTAGATGTATTTCTGTAAGAGTCGCCAGGACATTCGTCATCTACGGAAATGTTCTGTCCAAGATCGCTTGATGCATTCACCATGGCAACCAGCGCCACACTCAGATTGACTCGAATAGCGAACAGATTGATGAAGCCTAGGAAGGACCACATGGCCAAGGCATGGCGGGCGGCCACACCCCTGCATAGTAATGAACCTGAAAGTCGAAATATTCATTCGAAGTTTTACACCGAAAGACGTTAAAAAATTAAAAGATTTTACTTGTTGTTACTCTGCCTGTAGTTCGGCATAAAACGAGGACTGGTCATCTTCCCTAGGCAAGAGAGTTAACTGACTATAAAAGTCCAGTTTCCACCCTTGCCGAACTAGGCTGGTATTATGGAGTTAGATTTTGACTGGACTATCGAGTCTATGCATAGTCCAATCAAAATCACGCAACGAAATCGAAATCCGGTTCGTAAACTGTCGTGCAGATGTCGGTCGATTGCAGGATTTGCAAAACATGTGCACCGCCAACCTGTTGTCAACAGATATTATCCAAACATTTTTATTTTTTTAATCAAGGTGCTCGCGTGATTTGATGCACTTCGCGATCTAAGACCCGTTTTATCACAATATAGATCTTGATTATGGATCAGATCTTCTTGACTGGGCGCCACCGTTTTGTTTGAAACAAATGCAAGTGATGGAATCTGATTGGTCCACAGGAGAGGCTTAGGAGGGACATAACTCGTAATAACCACTGGTGGCGCTACGATCGAGCCCAGAAATTCCAGCCAAGTTCGGCAAGGGTGGAAACTGGACTTTTAATGTCAGTTAACTCTCTTGCCTAGGGAAGATGAGGACTGGTCGACTCGGGGTCAGTATACTGTGTCTGAGTGGAGTATCCATGTCGGTACGTTATCTAAATAGGCCTGCTCTAAGAAAACGGCTTTATTTCGAATTAGTATAAGCATCCATATACACACGTGCATGCACGTGGCTATATAAGTGCAATAATCTTGAGCGTGACAACCTCATTTCAACTCATCTATTCATCTTTCTTTTAATACTGACGAGGGTAAAATACTTTGTGGGTGAGTGAGTTTTGTGACCCGTGAAGATTCGGGGTGGAATAGGTCTTCAGCAACGCATGCGTGCCGTAAGAGGCGACTTACTTGTCTGCATAGGTGACTTAAAGGGATCGGGTGGCCAGGCTCGCTGAGTGAGTTAAAATTTCACGTCGCATCGGCATAACGTCAGCCATACAGCGCCGAGGACAAGTTGATATATATACAACTGAGTCCTGAATACAAAGTTATATTTAAAAACCAATTTGTCAAACATATTTTGGCATTGCAATATTATTTATATAGTTTAAAACACGGGGTATAAGCCACAGGTGGCCAAAGCTAGGCCGCCTCGCTGGCCTTACGATACCCCAGCAAGATTTACGTCATCCCGTCAGCTACTGGACCATGTGTTTAGCAAAATACTAAAAAATGCTCAGCAATGAGTTAGTTTAAAACATTGGTTGATGATAGTTATATTGATTATGATAGGAATTACATTTCACAAAGGAGAACAATAATTTTACTGTATTTTAACCTCATTGGCAGAGCTTCAGTAATCTTTGTTGATAGAAGCATCACATAAAATTTAAAAACTAGAAACTAGTTATTTACATACATATTAAAATTTATGTGTGCCAAATTTCGAAAAAAGATTTTCACACAGAGGTTTGAAAGCACAATTGTATGCTGGATTTGACTGATTTGAGTGCCATTTAGTTATGTATTGCAGCGATAGTTTGATTGTGTGTTGTTCGAGGGAAGGTTCATCATCTCTCACATACAAACTGTCCACAGGAGAGGTCCTTAAAGTTCCAAGAGAGAGCCTTAGGCCTTGGTTGTATATAGTGTCTACGTTTTCTTAGTTGTTGTTGCAGGCTCCACCATACACAATTGACCTATAATCTAGTTTAGAGAGTATTAATGACCTGTACAAGTGAAGGAGAGTTGTCTTATCCCCTCCTCACTCAGAATTCAACAAGTTGGTAGCGTCCAGGCACTTTGCCTTTAGATATTTGATGTGTGGTAAGAATGACGGTCATATATGAGGTCCAGGAGTTTGGCCTCCTCTACTTCCTTGATAGAAGTACCATCTAAAAATACTTCTGGTTCTTGTGGGGTTTATATGTACAACAAACGTGAATGCAGTTTGTGTGGGATTTAGAAATCTTGAGGCCATTTTCGTTGGCGCATTATTTAATTTGTTAAGACATAGCTGGAACTGTCTTTCTATTCATTGTATCCGTACTCTTATCAGGACACGGATTGTGGTAATTATCCATAAAAAATGAACCATTAACACAATTGTTCCAGTCTTTGGTAAGACTACTAACTTTGATGCTAATATGATGCTTCGAGGAATGCCCTGATCTTGATCGAGATGATCAGACAGGGTAGATCCCGCTCGTACTTGAAATTGGTGTTTAAAAACTGAGATATGAAGTGAGGTAATTTGTGCCCCTCAATACAAATTCTTTTGAAATACCATGTTTCCACTTTGCATCATATGCCTTCTCTACGTCGAAATAGGCTGACACAGTATATTTTTCGTTGACAGTTGAATGTTTGATAACTGATTCTAACGCACCAAATGGTCAATGGTACTTCTGTCTTTCCAGAAACCACACAGTATGATACTCGGGAGGTTATTGGTCTCAAAGTACCAGACTAATCGATTGTTAACCGTGCTTTTACAAACACAGCTGGTTAATTATATGGGACGGTAATTCATGGCACCGTGCAAGTAATTCAGTGAAACTGTTTCATTGTGGTCCTCAGTCCTTTACCAGAGATAAAATTAACCTCTTTCTTCTCCTGTTGTTTTTGGTATCTCTGAGATTGAGGGTTATAGTCGGATCACGAGGAATGGTTTGCCACAATGTCACTAACTTTGTTGGCAAATTCCGATTTAGTTGTTAATAGAGATTTTGCCCTTAATCTTTTGAATCATTTTTTACATCTTGGACATGTGTGTGCGAGAATTGATTTTAGATACATAGTTCCTCCAGGATTGACGTTTATTTTGTTTAAAAGTAGGTATCGCCTTGGCGCTCTTGGTTTTAAGGTTATTCAGATTGTGCACGGTTTGCTATCGGCGGAAATATTTCTCAGTTTTCTTCCTATTTTTCCTATCTTGTTTACAATCATGATAAAACCATGGTTTACGTATATGAGGGTATGCAGAAGACTTGCAGCATATAATTAATCTGAAAATAGTTGTATAGGTTCAGGGACATTCCTGAAATTGTCAGATGTTAGTTTTCTGTACTAAGTGTTTGTAATATAGACCAATTGGTCTTTGTAAAGTTCCACCTTGTTGAAGGCAGTTTATCAGCAGGATTGATAGTTGTAAGTATTGTTGGAAGTATTGTTGGAAGATGGTCACTTCCACAAAGGTCATCATGCCCTGAGACAGCAACCTCAATTTTGACAATCTCTTTTGATTTGAGTCGATTTACGGATGCAGTTTCTTTGAACATTGTCCAGGAGAGAACTGGATCGAAGCTTGGTGACATTTGTCACCTCTCCGCAGAAACCAGCAATACCTTTGGAGATTGCAAATGGATTGACTTTGATTGGTTCTTTGTCATATGCTTCAATTACCAAACAAGAGGACCAGATGGAATGGATGTGTCAGACGAGGTGTTGTCAGTATCTATGTGTCTCCGTTTTGAACCGCGGTGTTGGGAAGACATGTCGAAAAAAAAGGATTCAGAACCCCTTTTCCCCATCCTCCATCGATTCCTCATAATAAGGAAGTTGACATCCATACATTCTCTTCCTCAAATAAAAATATACAACACTATCGGTTTTGAAACATTTACTGCAATCAACACACAACGAATGTCACTGATATACTTCCATATACAAATATGGAAACGTCATAGAACAAACCAGATGACGTTCAATATATGACGTCACCCAACAACGGGCGTGATAATGGCCCGTCGTCAAGCAATATGAGGGCATTATCAAGTTACACTGACCCGCTCATTTCTGATAACATGCGGGCGGTTTAATGATAATTCTATCCATTTTAGCTATAAAGTGAAATAACCGTGGCCAGGGAACATCAACAAACTTTTCATTACATAACTAATTCCGGTGTTTTTGTTGAGATATGTATAAACTGATTTGGTCAAACGTTAATACATGATCCAACATAAAAACACTGGAAATATATAGTAACAAGCGCTTAATTGTAAAGGAGCCACTGTGAGATGGGAGATTCAGAGCTGGGAAAATCTAGACTTGCTTCATTTGTGGCTATAGCATTACCGTGAAGGCTAGGCGGAAGCGAAACTAATTTGGTTCAGACACTAGGACGGATTAGTTGATGTCTGCAGGACAACTACGCTGTTAATGATAACAGGTTGTTGTTGTAATGTGTTATCATGATAGCCTAGAAATGCTATCTGCAGAAACGAGTTACTATTTCAAGGACTTTTCGAACTTTCATGTTTTATTGTAACTCTCAAAAGAAAATAATTCTTTCGTGACATTTGGGGCGCAGTGTACCCAGCCGTCTAATACCCCATTTACATGCCCCTCTATGCATATGTGTGTATATGTGTGTATATGTTCATACGTGTGTAGAAATACATACGTGAGTATACTTGTCATGTGAACGCGTTTACTCATGTGTGTATATTTACACCAGGAGCACATTTGCATCATGTCTGGAGCGGCTGCAAATGTAAATGTAAATTTGCACTGTGTGTATATGTTGCAATGTGAACGTTTATGTTAACGTAAGAGGATGATCTAATTAATCTGTTCTTTTGCACTCACCAAACAAATTGTCAACAGTTGCCAACTTTTATGCGTATATACAGAGTTGAGCGGACGGTGTTTTCTTTTGGTTTCAAGGAGTCAAAACTTTATGTACAAATTAAATCAAACACATGTTGCTTCACGCGAAACTTTTCGGTGAAGTCACTCTCTTCTCATTCAACTTTGATTGGAAAACAACCTGTTTTGTGTTGAAAGTCGTGAACAGACTGACGAATATGTGTGCCTAACACAATTTACATACTTTATTTACACACCTATGATGATTTTCATGTGAACGTATATTAATTTACATATACGCACGTATGTATTGTTTCACATGTGTAAAATTACTGACGTTAGTAAATGTTGTGCA